CCGAGCAACTTCGAGTGAGTGCACATCAATCGAATTCGCCATTAGACAAAAATCGACAGAATGCCGTTTATGATAGGCAAGGAGCCTGTGCGGCGAACAATGAAATACTTAATGGCTGGCAAATTGGTTTTAAAGGATAAGATACAAATAATGTCCATCAATTATAACACACATGGCAGTCATCACCGAGGTACAAGGTAAAGGTTATTTGCTTAATACTTAAAGCTCATCTGCAGTTTGTATTTTAATGAGTCGTTTTTCTGTTTATTTTTTCTTACAGAGACTTCGTGTTTTGGCATCTACCGCAATTACAGTATAAAAATCCAAATGTACAAATAGTTGCCTTTAAAAACATAACTCCGTCGCCATTCATAAAATGTTACTACGGTAAAATTGCGACTTAATTATAATTTCAAACAAGATTTATTTAATGTTAGAATTAAGCGGTATCTAGTGAGCAAAATGTGAACAGTATGTCAGCATTTTTTATCAGTAAATTTGAGCAAAATATTGTGGCAGATTGACATGATGAAAATTTTTCTCAGAATTTTAATTTCAGAATGTTTCAGAATTTTTGAATAATTTTACAATTTTTAGAACATTCTTAGATTTTTTTCTACAAATTGAAACATTTTTCAAAAGTATCAAGAAAGTCTACATCTCTTCTAGAATTTTTTGTGTTTCAGAATTTACATATATAAAAACATTTTAATCAGACTCTTCATATTTCTAAAAAGTGTCTCAATTCGTATAGAAATTCTGAGAAAAAATTGTATTATGTATTTCATGTTTGTTTTGCCAGTGGAGTCCCATAAATATAATCTGATAGCAAATTGTTAATAGAAGGTATTTGAGTGATTACAATTGGTAGGTTTGGGGAGACGCTATTAGCGCTACTTCTGTTATTCCATCTTTGTTGTTCATTAGATGTAAAACAAGGATAGAATGACAGAAATAGCGCTAATAGCGTCTCCCCGAACGCACCTAATTAATTGCAAAAACTAAATGTTACAAATTGATAAATTCTATTTAATTTTTACAATCCATTTATTATTAGATTCTGTTAGCCAAGTTTGTTATATTTCTGCTGGTATTTTGCTGATCAAATTTGTAGCAGATATTTTGCAGAATTTTTTTCAATTTGCAAAATTATGGCCCCAAGGGCCCGGAGGTAATTCAAGAATGCTGACATTACCGACAATTGATATAAATTTGCTATTATTAACATAAATATTTTGCTCATGCATTATTAAATTCATGATTTTTTATTACATAAATGTCCCATAAATAAATATACATACTTGTAAA